CAGCAACCTCCAACTCCTGGGCTTAAGTGATTCTCTTGCCTCAGCCTCCCAAGTAGCTAGGACTATAGGCACCCACCACAATGCCTGGCTAGTTTTTAGTTATAGTTGTCGTTGTTTGGCAGGCCCGGGCTGCATTCGAACATGCCAGTTCTGGTGTATATGGCTGCCACCTTAGCTGCTTGAGCTACAGGCACTGAGCCAAAGTTTTTTATTTTGAGATAGTCTCACTTGTTGCTTGCACACAGGAACCTCAGACTCCTGGGCTCAAGTGATTCTTGCCTCAGCCTTCCAAGTAGGTAGGATTACAGGTGCCTGCCACAATGCCCAGCTATTTTTAGAGATGGGGTCTTGCTCTGGCTCAGGCTGGTCTAAAACTCCTGAGCTTAGGCTATCCACCTGCCTCAGCCTCCCAGAGTACTGGAATTACAGCTGTGAGCCACTGTGCCCAGCCCTAAGACAAACTTTGAGTTTATAGCCTACAAAGAGGACAAGTCCTCTTCCCATCAGTGCCATACACCAAGTCTTAGGCAAGACTTTGATTGGCCCTGCTTGGGTCACATGTCCAACTCTGGCTCAATCACCAATTGGCCACCTGTATTACCTGTCTGCCCACGTGGTGGGTGGAAGTTGAGCATATCCTCCAAAGGAAGCATGCTGATTACAAAACTTGGATATAACAAGGCTCTTTTATTTACCTCTAATAATCTTTCCATTTGCTTTCTTTTCTTTTCTTCTTTTTTGAGGCAGAGTCTCCCTATGTCACCTTTGTATAGGCGAAACGCCTATATGCCTCTGGCCAAAAAAGCTACTTGAGAGAGAGCAGTGAAAAGACTTTGTGCAGGCATACTTAAGAAACTGAGGCAAAATCCCACGTAGCCAGGTTAGTTGCGGGCCTAACGTGAACAAGGTTTTGGCTGGAATAGCATTTCCAGACTGAGTTAAGGAATTAAGGTTGACTTTATAAGGCCTATGAGAAAGTCCTTTGTAACACTGGCCAGATACCCATCAGTAACCTTTCCTGATCTGCAGTGACAAAAGTCGCTTACTGACGGGTCTGGGTTCCTGATCTGTGGTAAGTGACGAAGGTTGCTTGCTGACAGGTCTGGGAACGGTAATGTCATACAAGTATCTAATGGCACAGATGAAACTTGGGCTCATGAAAGGCTTTTGAGGAAGTCCAGCCTGAGAATTCCTTATAAAAGTCTCCAGCAAACCCCCTCCTGACTTAAGGCCTATATGGGAGCAGAGGTTTGCACACAAACTCCTATATGCCCAAGAAGTTTCTCTATGCTTTGCTTAAAGATTCAAAGTAACTGCCTCCAAATGGCATGGTCAGTAGACCAGACATTCAAATCTCTTTCCCCTGTAGCCTCAGGCTTCATCAGATAAGATCAAAGAAATAACTGACATGTTCTTCATTATGTTAAACTGGTTATATTGAAAGGATTATGCTTAAAGGTGTATGTTGGGTGGATTATTAGATTACCAGGGAGGAGCTACTTACAGGGCGGGTGGTCATAAGCTGTTTAAATGGATCAATGAGGTCATTGCTGCATTGTGCTCATGTACAAAATTCCCTATATAAGCCAACTGCAAATAAAGAAGCTTGCCATTTTGCCTGAGCGAGCAGATGGTCACCTTTATTTAAAACACAATTTCAATAAGCGTGCTTATTCTTTGTGACATAGCTTTTCCGTGAGACCCTTACGGCAACACCGTTGGTAGAGTGCCATGGCGTCACAGCTCACAGCAACCTCAGACTCTTGGGCTTAAGTGATTCTCTTGCCTCAGCCTCCCAAGTAGCTGGGACTACAGGCCCTGCCACAAAACCTGGCTATTTTTTGTAGTTGTCATTGTTGTTCAGCTGGCCAGGCTTGAACCTGCCAGCCTTGGTGGATGTGGTGGGTGCCCTCCTCACTGAGCTATAGGTGCTGCCTGCTATATAACTTCTTAATTGATATCTGGTAAAGTAGGAAGTCTTTGATGCCAGAGGAGGGTTCTGTGATCTGTAAAAGTTGTGCTGGGCCAGTATCATTTTACCTGGTGAAAACCCCTTTCGGATGCAGAGTTTTTACTCTAGGAGAGACATACATTCCACATATTCCTCTTGCTGACATGTTTCAGTGCTAGGACTACAGCACTAGGACTACAAGGCATGAGCTACCATGCCTGGTCTATTTTCTCACAAACTTGAAATTCAGGCAGTGTTCAGGAGGGACAGCTCATTTCTGTGTCACATGGTTGCCAGCTTGGGGAGGAGTCAAGTGGGGCTGCAAGATTCACTTTTGAGGTGGTGCCTTGCAGGGTAGTGAGCTGGTGCTGGCTGTCAGCCTGCAGCTTGGCCATGTGCCCCCATTTCCTTCTACATGGGCTCCTCCATGGGGCTGCCTTGAAGTGTGGTGGTTGGGCTCCAAGAGGTAGTGAGATTGCCAGCCTCTTAGGGCCTGTGCCCAAAAACTGGCCTACTGTCATTGCCACAATATTCTTTTGGTCAAGGCAGTCCCAGAGCCCACCCTGATCCAAGTGGCCACCTGTATTACCTGTCTGGCCCAGTAGTGGACACAGACCTCACATCTTCACATCTTTTTTTTTTTTTTTGAGACAGAGTGAGACTCTGTCTCACTTGGTCATCCTCAGTAGAGTGTCATGAGGTCATAGCTCATGGCAACCTCAAACTCTTGGGCTCAAGCAATTTTCTTGCCTCAGCCTCCCATAGCTGGGACTACAGGCACCCACCACAGTACCTATTTTTTTTGTTGCAGTTGTCATTGTTGTTTAGCAGGCCCAGGCCAGGTTTGAACCTGCCAGCCTCAGTGTACTGACACCCTAACCACTAAGCTATGGGTACTGAGCCTGGTGGGGCTTTTCTGCATCTGATTACTTTCTAATGATTTCAAATCACTCCAGAGACTGGTTTGAGATGGTAACACCTCCAAGAATGAAAAATCAGGTGACAGACTGATTTTGCAGTGAACACTCAGCTTGGGGCTTTCTCCAGAAGGGTGGATATATCAGTCTTATTTATAGAGTCAAGAAAGGAGCGAGACAGGGTAGCCTGTTGTTCCTTTCTTTCCTGCTGAACTACATCTGTTGCATGCTATTTTTTCAGTGTTGATGGATTGGTCATGTGGTGTACTTGGATTAAATACATGGGTGGAAGTGTCTCATATATTTGCCCATCAACCTCACTTTGTAGCAGATTTACATTCTGTCTGGGATGCCAGATTGAATTAAATGCTTTTTTAAAGCTTGCAGTCTGACAAAAATCTTTACCCAGTCAGCATATTCACTATATTTAAAAAATAAGCATCTGCAGTGCAATGATGCAGCCTAAGGCTTATTTTCTAGGGAGCCATCTGCAAAGGGACAGCAGGGCCACGTGGTTATGGGAGTTTGGATCTAGCCAAGAGCGGATGTTCCCAGGAAAGGGCTTTGGATCCAGAAAACCCCTGTCCCTGGAATTCTGAGCAGATCTGTGAAGATCTAGGGAGGACCAGTGAGAAAGCAATCACCTGTGATCCTGGGCTTTGAAAAACCACTGTGATGAAAACCACCACAATTCTCTTAGGCACAAAGGCTTTCCCATGGCTTACTTGCTTATGAATGATGAGGGAGTGCAGACCCCTGGTAAGGAAGGAAAATGAGAAGCTGGACCAGGTAAGGGAGCCGGGAACTCACTCCATCATCGCTTTCATACAAAGGCATTTATGAATATCTCCTTGCACATAGGAGTGCTCACAGCAGAAAGACAGCAGGCGGAGTTTATAAAACTTGACTGGGTAGGTGGGGAGCAAGGCATAGTTCAGGATGCCAGAGGGCAGGGGAAGGTAAGAGGCGGGACTAGAGAGAAGACACAGCATTGAAGATTAGTCCGGGAGTGCAATCTTTAGGCGGGAGCAACTTAGCTAAGATGGCTTGGCAGGAGCTGTCCTATCTCTGCCTAAAGATGTGATAGGCTGGGATGGCCCCCCTGGGATCCAATCCATAGCTAAGTCCAAACCCTGCAAAAAATGGGGCAAGAGTGTGACACAGGCAGGGCCTCCTGCTGGGAACCAAGTTACTCAACATCTCTGAGCTGGTATCTTCAGCAATATTCTGGGGGAAACAGTCCCACCTGCTTGTTATGGCTGCTGAGGAAATTAGAGCTTGCTTTAAAGTGCTTGCCACAAAACCTTCTGAAGATGAGGATGGGTTTTGCCTGTGAGACACCCTGTGGGTGGGATCCAGGTCCATGTGCAGAGCAGATTATGGGTTGCAGCAGATGGGCACTTGAGATGAGAGAACTGAGGCTAGCCTGGTGCTCAGTGACAGTGCAGCTGGGGACAAGCCTGGCTGTGAAAGGCAGCTCACAGGTGGAGGGGAAGCCCTTCTGCTGACCCTGCCTGCTGGGTGCCACCCAGGGACCAGAAGATGAGGAAGGAGACCCCTGCATACCACATTTCAGCTCTGCCATCTGCCTATGGTGCAGTCACTGCGATGGTCTGAGCAGTCTTTGGTGATCATACATCAGTGGGAGCGTGAGGTCCTGTGAAAGAGGAGCAATTATGGGCCACTGTGCCCACAGTCTGGCAGGAGACAGTTAGAGCTCCTCCTTATTGCTGTCCAGGGACTGGACTGGAGACCCTGGAGCCAGAGGGGCACTTACTGGCCCATGGTCGCCAGGCTCCTGGCTGCTGGCTTTCGGGTGCCTGCCCATGGCTGCATAGTCTCGGAGGAGCCTGCTTTCCACTCCATGCTGCCGAAGGCTCTCTGTACTTGCAAGCCCCTGCATTTTCAGGTACCCTTGCTGGCAAAAGGGTGGCAGCTTCTGGTGTGTTAGGGTGAACAGGAAACAGGATTCTACATGGAAACAAAAGAAGGAGAAGAATAGGTCAGGCTGGAAAGTGTGGGGAAGGTGAAAGAGGGGAGCTGCTAATGCCAGGGGCTGGGGGCTTCACTGGGGCCTAGCACAGCATCCTATAGCCCTTGAAACTGAGAACTGACCCCCCTGGGCAGCTCATGTCCAGTCTGAGTAGGTCATGCAGGGATCATGACCCTCCACGTGGCTCCAGAAACAAGAGGCTGCCTTGACATTTTGGAGGAACGAGGCAAACCACAGAAATGCCTCCGCTCCCACATATCAGGCCCACATGGTGCTCTGCATGGACCAGCCTGGGGTGGGAGCTCAGTCCCTCAGGAGCAGCCTTTTCTAGAAGTTGGCCTGGAGGCATCCACAACTCAGTGGTCAGTTCCACTGTGAGTGGTCAGAGCTGCCTGCAAAGATTTATTCCATCGACAAAATTTCAATCACAAATACTGTGTGCAAAGTTCTGTTCTGAACACCTTGGGGGACAGAGAGGTAAAACAGGTCAGTCCTCATCTATGTGACAGTGGAAAGTTGACATGTCAAATTTGGTTAATCACAAAGCAGCCGTGGATACTTATAATTGAGAAATAGGAAGAAACCACCAAAAGAAGCTATGAGAAGAAAGAAGGAACAACCCTAAGAGCTAGGAGTATCTTCTTCTGGGGAATGAGAATGAAGGTGGGGGAGGTGGGAAACCAGTCAATCAGCCAAGGGCTTACGTGCGTTTGATTGAAAAAACAGAAGAGACGACACAGGTATGGGCTCAGTCAGCTGAGAGAGAGATAGGAGGGGAAAACAGAATGTTCCGAAACTGGCTGGAGTCCTTTGTGACTCTGAGCAAGACTTCTACCTCCCCAGGGCCTTTTATCTCAAGTAAAAGACGGGCATAGTATGGGGATGCTGTGAAGCTTACATAGGCGACCAGCCTGAAGGGTGCTCCACAAATATCCCTTCCTGCTTTATTTCTGACTCTTAGCACAGTGGTCCTGGCAGGACAGGTGGTGGCAACCCTGTCTGAGCAGGGAAGAGAGCAGATGTGTAAGGGGACAAGAGGAGGGCAGCACGGTGGTGCTTGCCTTGTGGAGAGTCAAAGTCTGGCAGTTACCACCTTCTGATGATGTCACCCCTCTACAGGCCCTGGGAGCACAGAAGCCCAGCAGAATCTGGAGCCAGCACCACAGCTGCCCACCGCTATGGGGTGGAGGGAAGCCACTCTGCCAGCCGCCTTTTGCTGGGAGGGTTCATCTCAGTTCAAGACAGTGGCACATGGTGGCTTATACTGTTGAGCAGCATCTAGACAGTAGGAGACAAGAGGCTAATGGGATGATCCACTGCTGGGACCCACAACTCGGAGTGGGAATACACTCCTAACACACACTGGCGTTTTTATGTACTCCTGAAACCAAGAGAAATAGGCAGCTTTTTTAGAGCTGAAGACTTTAGATTTTATTTATTTTTTTTAGGACTCTAGACTTTTAACATGTAATTTCATGTGAAAGTGTATGATCAAGGTTGATAGTATGCAGACTGCTAGCACTTCAAAGTTGCTTAGTTATTTTTGTGCTTTTTTTTTTTTTGAGACAGAGTCTCGCTCCATTCCCTGGGTAGAGTGCTGTGGTGTCATAGCTTATAACAACCTCCAACTCTTGGCTCAAGCAATCCTCTTGCTTCAGCCTCCTCAGTAGCTGGGACTATAGGTGCCCATCACAACGCCTGGCTAGTTTTTCTATTTTTAGTGGAGATGGGGTCTCGCTCTTGCTCAGGCTGGTCTCCAACTCCCGAGCTCAAGCAATCCATCCACCTTAGCCTCCTGGAGAAGAAGCCACGTCAGAGCTGAGAGGATGGCCCTCCTGCCCTTGAGTGTAGGTGTGAGCCACCGCACCTGGCTGAACTGCTAAATCTTGAATTTCTAATTTCCTATTTACTTATTTATCTAGAAACAGGGTCTCACTGTGTTGCCCAGGCTGGTTTTAAACTCCTGGCCACAAGTGATGCTTGTGCCTCAGACTCCCAAGTAGCTGGGATTACAGGTGCATACCACTGTGGCCAGCTATTATACAATTTATACTTTATTTCCAGAAATTCTATTTGAATCTTCCTGAAAACTGCCCAGATAATTTTGGGAGTCTCTAGCTCATCATTATCTTTTTGGTAATTTTTGTTACTTCTTTGACTGTGTCAGTTCTGTTTCCCTTATCTAAAATACTTGGGATGGCTCGGCGCCTGTAGCTCAGCAGCTAGGGCACCAGCCACATACACCAGAGCTGAAGGGTTTGGATCCAGCCTGGGCCTGCCAAACAATGACAACTACAACCAAAAAATAGCCGGGCATTGTGGCAGGTGCCTGTAGTCCCAGCTACTTGGGAGGCTGAGGCAAGAGAATTGCTTAAGCCCAAGGGTTTGAGGTTGCTGTGAGCTGTAATGCCACAGCACTCTAACCAGGGCAACATAGTGAGACTCTGTCTCAGAAAGTAAATAAATAAATAAATAAATAAACAAAATCCTTGGGACCAGAAACATTTCCAATTTTGGATTTTTAAAAATTCTGGAATATCTGTATTATACTTACTGCTTGAACATACTTAATCTGAAAATCTGAAATCCGAATTGCTCCAATGAACATCTCCTTTGAGTGTCACATTGGTGCTTACAAAGTTGTGGATTTTGGAGCATTTCAAATTTTAAGTTAAGGGGGCCTGGTGGTTGGAGATTTTCAGGGGAGATCTTTTCCCCCCGCTCTATCCAGGGCCAAAAAGTATGCACCTCCTCTGTTTCCCTCTTGGGAGTGTTTGCCTCCTAGCTTACCCACTGAGAGCCAAACTCTGTTTGAGGATCTTAAGCAGAACTTCCATCCTGCTCCAGCTTTGTCCTCCCAAGCAAGGGCCAGTCAGCTAAATGCAGGTGCTGGGCTCCTGGTGACCTGCAGGTATCCCCGGCTCAGCAGTGGCCTATGCTTTTTATAGTGTCTGGCCTCTGGGGAGTCCCATTATTTTCCTGCCAGGTCTTTAAAAAGGACGTATTACGCAGTATTTTTAAGTGTGCTACACTGGGAGGGGGTTTCTGTGAACATCTAGCCCACCAGGTTGCAGGAAACAAAGAGTCTCGGGTTTGGATTCCTTTGTCCTTCAGGAACTTGGGTTACCTGCATAGAAGCTTCTTAAATCAGTGTCCAAGCAGTTCTCCAGGAAGCGCCTCAGAGGTAGAATGTGCCCAACGGGGGCAGTCCAGTCTGTTAAGAAGTCCTCCAAGATGTGGTGGATGGCCGTGGGCCGAGGCAGCGGCCAGTATGGGGGGCGGTATCTTACCTCCTCTTCTGTGGGGAGCGGAGAAGAAGCCACATCAGAACTGAGAGGATGGCCTTCCTGCCCTTGAGCCAACATTCCCAATGCATCCCTCATTCACTGTCCACTCCCGCACTGCGCTGTGGTTGGCCTGTTCGACAACCATCTCCATATATGTGGAAGGCTGATGTGAGGAAGAGGAACTAGCCTTGTCTCTTGTGGTCTCCGAGGGCAGTACTAAGACTAGTAACTGGAAGTTGGGGTTTCTCTGAGACTCACACAAGTCTACCATGGCTCCCTGAAAACTGGTCTTTCTGTTAGAAGACTCAGAGCTCTGCCCTGAAGGGGTCTCAGAGCTCACGTAGTCCAGCTTCCCACTGGTGTGGCCTCCCATCTGCGGTGTCCCTGTCAGCAGTGTCCTGCTGCTGAGCAGCTCCGGGTCCTAGTTGCTCCTTATGCCAAATGCAGACCCGTGTCGGTGCTGCTTTTACCTTTGATCCCCTCTCTGCCCTTGGGAACAGCTCCTATTAGGCCATCCTCTTCCACTGACTGCCCTTCAAGTTCTGAGGCAGGAGCTGTGTCCTCAGGTTGGTCCTTCAGTGGCAGCTAGTCTGTGCCAGCACTGCGCTGGCATTCTTATACCCACCCAATTGACAGTGGGTACTGTCAATTTCTCTTCATGTGATATTACAAGGAATGTCCTGTTGTCATCCCCACTTTACGGATGAGGGTGAGGCTCAGAGAGGTTCACCGATAGCCCGGGGTCGCACAGTGACACAAGGACATACCTGCACTGTGCTGGCCAGCTCCAGTTCCTTCTAACGTTCAGGAGTCTGCAGATCCTCCCTCCTCCCGCCATGGTTGGCCTCCTATGGAGACCTTGCAGAGTGACACTTACAATGTAGTGAGTGTCCCTCTTACTAGGTGGTGCTGGAAGACAGCACACCAATCCAATCTGCCTACGCAGATCACAGCCTGTGCCAGAATCTAGAAATGGCATTTGTCATTCTCCCACCTTCTGCCCCTGCCTGGTCTTTAGGTAGAGTCCCCCCCACTGCCTCCTGTCACTGAGGGCATTGTATGGTTTAGTGGTGACAGCCCTACAGACAGTAGGGGCGGAAGAACACCACCTCCAGGAAACCTACGCTCAGGGAGGTGGACCGAGGTCAGCTCACCGGTGGGGAGTTGTCTGTAGTAGTAGATGACGGGGTGGAGGAAGTTAGACTGCCAGGCATCTTCCGTGTGCCCCACAGACCGGTCATAAAAAAAGACGTCCTTGTCGGGTCCAGAGAAATTTTTGCCATACTCCATGTTGATGACAAAGAGCCCATTCTCTGCCTTCTTCCCAGTGAGGGTCTCCAGCTGGGGCAGTGTGAGCAAGGGCAGTTCCTCCAGGTACTCGAATGCCGTGGCATTCCTGGGGAGAATGGCAGCATAAGTTGGGGGGCCTTGGTGCTGTGGCTGAGATTAAGGGTGCGGCACCTGGTGCTGTGTGTGTGTCTCTACCTCCCAGAAGTGTCAATCAAGTAGTGTACAGATGCCTCACTTTAATACACTGTCACAGGTGGGCCCTCACTAATGCATGGGAGTGATGAAACTGTATAACCTGAAATGGATATTTGGGGAACAGTGTTCCAGGGTGAAAGAACAGCAACAGAAAAGCCCTAAGGAGGGAGCCAGGCCCTGTGTTTCAAGGAAGAGGAAGAGGCCAGCGAGGCTAAGCAGTGTGAACAGGGCAGAGGGTAGGAGGTCTGCAGGGGCGAGACAGGGAGGGCTGTGTCTGCCGTGACAGCAACCGCAGGTTTCACCTGGATGGAGAAGGAAGCTGCTGGCCATGGGGGACACTGAGCAGAGACATGACCAGAGTGGCTCAGGTTTGTAAGGGCCACTTTGGCCACTGTGCTGAGAACAGACTGTGGGCCAAAGGTGGAAGGCAGCCAAGTTAGCACAGGTGAGGGATGCTGGTGCTGGGCACCAAGGAGGCAGTGGTGGAGCCAGTGAGAACTGGTTAGATCCTAGACAGAACTAGAAGGCGGAGGGGACAGGACCAGTCCACAGTTTGAACGGAGGGTGTCATTCCAGAGAGGGGCACCAGAGAGGTGGTGATGTGAGGTTTTCATGCTGAGCAGGTCCCTGAACTTGGTGTGCTGTGCAACTACCTGCCTTTGGGTCGGGCTGTTCTCTGGATCAGTGCCGTTGGTTGTTCCTCTGCTGTCACCTGCCATCTGTCCTGAGTGTCCTATGTCCCTCTGGGCTATGCACTGCTTCCTTCTCAGAAACTGTCCTCTGATCTGCTGCTCATCTTGTGATTGGTGAGGACATGACCAGCGTGGACCTGGCCTGAGGGAACTCAGACCCGCACTGTGGGTTCTCGCACAGTTCTCTCCTTTACTGATAATCTACTTGGGGCCAAATGTTCTCTGTGAGGGACAATCCCTCCTTCCTTCATTGCTGCAAGGTAGGCATAATTATCCCCACTTTGCAGAAGAGGAGAGAAAGGCTCAAAGAGGCTAACTAACTTACCCAAGGTCATATAGTAATAAACTCTGGCTTCACCCTCGGGAATGTCCATCTGATGTAGAACTTGTGGTGTTGATTTCACTGATCTTTCCCCCTACAACAGACCCCCTGCTCCCCCCTTGGAGGCTTCATCTTGGGAAGAAATAGCTGGGTATCCCACACCTGGAATAGGCAGAGGGTGAAGAGGGATGGGTGGGAGGGGCTACTCACTCCTTTAGCAGGACAACATCGCCCAGCACACTGAACATCTGGTAGAGCCCAGAAGCCTCGTTCACACGCCGGATGATAGAGTTGGTCAGCTGTGTGATGGGGAGCTCAGTGGAAGGCCAGGTGATGCCATGGTGGCGGTGCTCCAGGAGCCGGTGGACAGCTCGCACTGAAATGGCCAGAGCAGGAATAGCAGGCTGCATGTTACCTTTGCTCACCAGGGGAGGTACAGGCCTCACTGACTCCGTGGTACTCAACACACACTTGGGTTTGCATAATTCTGTGGGTGGTGAGCAAGTGAGGGAGGAGACCACAGGAGCCTTTAGAGCAGCACCAGTGGATGTTTCCTAGAAAGAGCCAGGCAGTCCATATCCTCTGCTTTGTGTGCCACATGCTATGCAGTGACACTGCTGATTCTGCCCCTGGTATGAAAGCAGCCAAGGTGACAGAGAAAGCAGGGGACACAGCTGGGTTTGGTCACAGGCCAGAGTCCATCCACCTTGCTTTAGGCTATCTGCATGAGTCCCCCATCCTCATCTCACATAAGGACTGTCAAACCAGACGCAGGAGCTTCCTTGGAAACCTTTCCCCTTTCACAGGCACTATTTCTATCAGAGTTACCCCTAGCGCAGCTTCGGATTGCGCCCTCTCTTTCCCAGCCTAAACCCAAACTGCCCTAAGTTCTGTCTTGAGACACTGTGTGTATCTGCATGAAGACAGCAAAGCCACTGCTATCTAACAGTGAACTGGTCCTCTGGATGCCTGTGGCTGCCGCCCATGGCTGTGGGACCAGAACACCACACATAGGTTTAGGTGCCTGCTCTTCCAAAATTCATCAGCCAAACCCCCAAGTCCAATAAAGCCGAGGACGCACTCACACAGCTCAGATGAAAGGGAATCCAGGGGCCAATAATAATCTCAGGAGGAGATGCTCAGCCTCGCCACAAGGCTGGCTCACTGAGGAAAACAGTTTTTTTTTTTTAATTTTGAGACAGACTCTTATTATGTCGCCCTTGGTAGAGTGCTGTGACATCACAGCTCACAGCAACCTCCAACTCTTGGGCTTAAGCAATTCTCTTGTCTCAGTCTCCCAAGTAGCTGGGACTATAGGCCCCCACCACAACGCCCAGCTATTATTTTATTTTTTTTGAGACAGAGCCTCAAGCTATCCCCTTGGGTAGAGTGCTGTGGCATCACAGCTCACAGCAACCTCCAACTCCTGGGCTCAAGCGAGTCTCCTGCCTCAGCCTCCCAAGTAGCTGGGACCACAGGCGCCCGCTACAACGCCCAGCTATTTTTTGGTTGCAGCCATCATTGTTGTTTGGCGGGCCGGCTGGATTTGAACCCGCCTCCTTAGGTGTATGTGGCTGGCACATTAGCTACTTGAGCCACAGGCGCTGAGGCAACTATTATTTTTTTTGTTTCAGTTGTCATTGTTTAGCAGGCCTGGGCTGGGTTTGAACCCTCCAGCCTTGGTGTATATGACTGGCACTCTAACTACTGTGCTACGGCACCAAGCCAGAGGAAAAGATTGTTAAGTGGGTTTTGCTTGGTAATTATACAGCTATACAAGTGTGAGGAGGGTGCTATAGACAAAGGAAACAATGTATGCAAAGAAATACGCCTGGCCGGTACATTTTAGAAAGCAGGGTTTATGTGGAGAAGAGGCCATGAGTGAGACTGGAAGGTGGGCTGCTGCAGCCCTTGCAAAGCCATTAATGCCGCGGAGCTGCTGAGTGGGGGAAGGATGAGATTTTTTGTTTCAAGAAAGATTATTTTGGCGGGTACCATGGCAGTTGGCCAGCAAGTCAGAGAGACTGAGACCCAGTGGCAGGGAGAGCAGTCAGGGGAGACAAAAGTGGAGGTAAGCCACAGCAACTGGACAGCGATTTAGCAGGGGAACAGGGCAGCTGATGTGCTCCCCGAAGTGGCAGTCTGTACCACTATCTTTACCTTTTGCTATTCTCTGTGTATTTTCTTGTTTTCCTTGGGGCTGTTTCTCACCTGACAATGAGCAAGGTCCAGGCAGACCTTACTGTGCACCTCCATGCTGTCCCTCTCCCTGGCAGGGGCCTTATCTCTCTGTGAGCATAGCAATGGGTTGCTACACACCCAGGACTATTCCCCATGTGACTGAAGCTCAATGCTTAGGTATGAACTTCAGAGTCAGGTGTGGATTTCCATTCCAATTCTGCCATCCACTGGCTGGTTGACTTTGGGAAAGTTACTTAACTTCTCTGTGCCCTAGTTTCCTTACCTGGGAAATGGAGTTGAAATAGGATGATCGGTGTCATGGGCTTTTAAGAAAGATTAAATATGTAAGCTGGGGAGAAAGAACAGGGGCCTGAGGAGATGAGAGAGACAGGGTAGCACCTGCCAGGGCAGTGGTACAGCGAGGGCTGAAAATGATGACATGAACTTCCTACTAGGGACACACAGCTGAAGAGACACTCTTCACATCTCTGTGTGTGTTTGCATTTTTTTTTTCTTTTGAGACAGAGTCTCACTCAGTCACCTGGGGTAGAGTGCTGTGACATTATAGCTCACAGCAACTTTAAACTCTTGGGCTCAATCCTCTTGCTTCAGCCTCCTGAGTAACTGGGACAATAGGCACCTGGCTATTTTTTAGAGACAGTGTCTCACTCTTGCTCAAGCTGGTCTCAAACTTCTGAGCTCAAGCAATGCACTTGCCTCAGTCTCCCAGAATGCTAGGATTACAGGCATGACCCACCATGCCCAGCCCTGTATGTGGATTCAATCTTCAAATATTTTGGTTTATAGATGGTTAATAAAACCCTCTGCCCAGCTTCCTTCCCCAACATCACACACGGGGTGTAAGTGAGGTCATCTGGAAATCAACAACAAAATGAGATTCTCTTTCCCAGCCAAACAGGAAGGATAGGAAATGCAAAAACCAATATTTTTTTTTTTTTTGAGACAGAGTCTCAAGCTGTTGCCCTGGGTAGCATGCCATGGCGTCACAGCTCACAGCAACCTCCAACTCTTGGGCTTAAGCGATTTCTCTTGCCTCAGCCTCCCAAGTAGCTGGGACTACGGGCGCTTGCCACAACGCCTGGTTATTTTTTGGTTGCAGCTGTCATTGTTGTTTGGCAGGCCCGAGCTGGTGTATGTGGCTGGCGCCCTAGCTGCTTGGGCTACAGGTGTTAAGCCGCAAAACCCAGTATTAAGGCAATGCGAGGCATCATAGTAAATACAGAAATGTCAGGATGTGTGATGCGGGTTCCTTATGGTTTTTATAGCAAAATTAATTGTCCCATAGAACACCCGTCCTGCAATAAAGCACCCAAGGTGCCACCATCTGCAGTGGTTATGAGGCTGCTGGTGGGATCTTTCATTGTCCCCCTGCTGTTTCCAAAGGCAGGCGTGGATTCAGCAGGGGTGGACAGCTGCTTTCCAGGGCTGCCAAAATGAATTCATGCACGCATAACAAGAACAGAAGCTGGAGACTATCCTTCTCCAGGAATATTCAGCCTCATGGCCAAACAGAACACCACACTGCCGGCCTTAACCTGCACTCAGGAGGCTGAGGCATGCCCCTCCCCCCACAGAGAAACATGCCATGTGGAGTTCTATGCCTACATTTGTCATGTCCTGGCTTTTACAGTAAAAGAAAAATTTAAACCCACTTGTTAAGTAAAAATGGAAAACAAAAGGATGTTAGAAAGAAAGTTTACTTTGTTCTCTTCTTTGTGTTACTTTTTATTTCCTAAAGTTTCTATAATGAGCACATTATTTTATGACCCAGTAGGGAAAGGTGGGACTATATTAGAAAAAATATGGTGAAGTTGAGTCTAATCTCTTCTCCACTGAGAGACCCCGTTGCAGTGATTCCTACACCTATCAGCATGGCCCACCTTGAATAAAGTCTTAAAGAAAAAAAGAAAAAAATATGAATGTTGAATGTCTCTGGGTGACAGGCTACTTTCCTTATTGTCTGTATTTTCTCAACTAAGTTGCCCTCGGTAGAGTGCTGTGGTGTCACAGCTCACAGCAACCTCCAACTCTTGGGCTTAAGCGATTCTCTTGCCTCAGCCTCCCCAGTAGCTGGGACTTCAGGCGCCTGCCACAACACCCAGCTAGCTTTTTCTTTGTTGTTATTGTTACTGTTTGGCAGGCCCAGGCCAGGTGTGTACCCACCAGCCCAGGTGCATGTGGCTGGCGCCCCATTGGCTGAGCTACAGGCACCGCCTATTTTCCCAAGTTTTGATGTTCAGCTATAAGCTTATGATGGCTCCATTCTCTCAGATGGCCTCCCCGTCTATCCACTATAAGTACCTCTGACAAACTTCAACAGGCTCCATGTCCTTTCCAGAAGGTTAATGATAGGAAAGGGAATGCCTGACATTTATAGAATTCTCTGGAAGCTGAGAAAAACCTTGTGGAAAGTATCTTTTGACAGAGAGCCTGGGACTTGCAGTTCAATTCCCATGGCACTGAGGAAATCACCAAAACTCTGAGCCTCAGTTGTTTCTTCAGAAAAATGGAGATTTCACACCCACCTCCAAGGGCACTGGCAACATCACTGGGGTCGTCATGTTTTCACGGTGCTCAGAGCACGGACGATAGGCACCTTTGTGGATGCGTTTCTCTCCCTTATTTTGTAGTTCCCATTTCTCCTTAAAATCACAAGCCCTCAATTTCAGCTTAGAGATTATTCTAGTGCAATAAGTAGAATTACGTTCTTAAAAGATACATTAGTATTTTATTGGCAAACAATCTCAAGTTAGTCAAAAATTTATACCCTTAGTACTAAGAGTTCTGAAAAAGAACTGATATAATCTTTATAATCTGGCCAGGCATGGTGGCTCCTGCCTGAAATCCCAGCACTCTGGGAGGCTGAGGTGGGCAGATTGGCTGAGCTCATGAGTTCAAGACAAGCCTGAGCTAGAGTGAGACCTTGTCTCTAAGAAGAAAAAAAAAAAAGCCAGGTGTTGTGGTGGGCGCCTGTAGTCCCAGCTACTCAGGAGGCCGAGGCAAGAGAATTGCTTGAGCCCAAGAGCTTGAGGTTACTATGAGTTGTGACTCTACCAGGGGTGACAAAGTGAGACTCTGATAAAAAAAAAAAAAAAAAAAAAATCATATATTGAAAGAAAACCCTTTGGTGACATCCCATCAATTC